TGCAATAGAGTGGGTAACCTGAAAAAGATTTTTGCACGAAAGAAGCGCGATTTTGAAACAGGTACTTTTTTAAATTCCCAACGTCATCGCATTTAAATTCTGTCCAAAATTGATCATATTTAGACGAGAGTATATAATATGGAGGTATTAAAACTGTGTTGAGGTTAGGTTTGATTACAGTTTATTAGAATGTCATGTGGGTTTTCTTAATGACCTGCTCATAGCCAGATCTCGCCGTTTCTTGCCGTAGCAAGGTACATAACGTTCATTCGTAGTTTTATATTGGTGTAATTACACAATGTGTGCAACACAGTAAATTATTGCTACAGTGAGAAAATGAGTGGGGTCACATGATGTTTGCTCAGTGTTTTCCATGAGAATAATGCTTCAGTTGTTGGCAGGAGTTGCTGATGCAACTGAGTGGACCTACTGGTCCCACCTGGAATCACTCATCAAGACTATGCCCAGCAGCACGCAGACTGTCACCGAAGATGAAGAGGAAGAAGATTCTTCTCATCATTTTTTAGAACATGTAGAAACAGTTTGTGGTATGCAGACGTCCCATATTTTGCTTATAGCTTGAAGTAAACATTATGCAACCATCATTTGTTATGTTTGTAATGCTAAGCTTATAATTTCTTAATCTGAAATTTATTGAATATCAGAAATTCTAGTATTATAACTTTAAAATTCCTCATAAACTGTCTTTGGTTACAGTTCAGGGTGTGAAGAATTAATATTTAGGTTATAACTTATAAGATCTTTATAGTCTTTCTCTTGATAAATGCAGAATATGTTTTATTGAGTTAGAATAAAAATCAGCTATAGTCCAACAATTTCCTTAGTTTCGTAACAAATGGTGAGATGTCTCATTTCTCAAATCGTTATTAATAATTATCATTTTTATAAAATCATATTTACAAGAGCCCTTTGATCCAATCCAGTATTATTTTCCATCCAAGACTCTTATGTGGTCATTTCCCCTTGGATTTTCAAATTAAAATGTATTAATTTGACTATTCACGTTCATGGTTTTCTTCAGTCTCAGTCTGAGGCTCTACATAACAATTTGTAATGTGCAGTAGGGGGTTGTTAGTCCATTTTCTCAACTTCCTCAGCTGGAGGACCACCCCACATTGGTCGTCTGCATCGTATAATATTAGCTCCAGCGTTCCAAAAGTATAATACCAGTTTCTGTCATCAAAATGTTTGTCATGTACTTTTATATGTTAATGCATTTTAGATGATGATTATGAGGAAGAAGATCACGGTGAAGGTGATAAAGATCAAGAAGTTGTAATGAATGGTGGTACATCTTCACAGATGATCGATTCATTAGGAGTATTCATGGAAGATATAGATGAATATGATGATGATGATGAAGAAGAAGATGAATTCAGCACGCAGCAGTCTCCGATCACACGTACCATCCCAGTACAACCTTCGTCTGCTCCTCCGCCTCATATAAAGAAGAAACCTTTGATGTGAGTATGAAATTATTGTGCCTTGTACCCGAATATACTTAAAAAGTTGTAAATGCCAAGTGTAAAAAAGTAAAGCTGTCTCACTATACGCCACGTAGGCGCCTGGAGGGGAGAGGAGTTTATAGCTCCTACTCGTTGTTGACCTCGGCACTAGACGGGGGTGAGTCGTCAGCTTCACGCCCCGGCCGCGCTTTACCTCCGGGAAAGGACCCCCGATACCCGTCGGATAGGAGGCTGGGCGGGCCCCAGATCCGGTATAGACGCAGGGGCTAGAGGTAAAGTCCTCTGACCCCATTCGGGTTCAAACCCTGGTTGTCCATTCTGTAGCCAAGTGTCAAATTTCGAGTATATGATCTTTGTGAATTGTGTTTCCTGTTTCTTTGGTTTTAAAACCTGTGTAATTAAAACACTTCGCTCGCTCCTAATATGGCTTTGATTTTATCACTCGGTGAACGAGAATGAGAAAGCTGTGATGCGCCAGTCACTAATGAAATTTGAACTGCGTGTTTCTAATTCTTGGCAGGGGGAAATGAATTTTTTATCTTTGCCTCTGTAGGCACCAAGTACCACTTATGTCACGGAGAGGAGTGAAAAGCGCCCAGAATGTGAGGCCGGTCATTCATTTACGTCTCGTGCATGCTTGGAACTTCTTAACTTTAAACTTTCTCTTTCACTTTCACCTTATATGGTGGAGATTTAAACTCATTCATTCTTTACTATTAAAGGAATTATAATTATAGAAAACATTTATGTTATTATTATATTATTATTAGCGTTCTGTCTGACGACAGGATTATAAGGCTAGACCACCGCGGCTGTTAACATTTATGTACACAACTTTAATTTACCTCTTTAGGGCACTCTGTGTTCTAATTGTGGTTATTAAATTTTTGGATCCTGCTTAATATATTCTTTTTAGCGAGGAAGTCATTTTAAGAGAACCAAAAACGTAAATACTGCAAAATTCTGATAAAGCATATATATACCACCACCATTTCTTCTTGCGCACAAATGTCTCGGAAAATAGTCTCTTTTTTTTTAAATTTTAAAGGAAAGCCCCTGGTAAAATGTAACCCCACTGACCACCATCTACCAACGTCTGTTCCAATACAAATGTACTGTTAAGTATTGTGACGTAGGTTGGTTCTTACGCCCTTTGTTGTCATCCCTTGCTGTTTGGAGTCTGGTAACTTGAATATGATCCAACATGGGGATCCACACATTAATCGCACGCTTTGTGCGATACGAAATTCTTCTAGAATCATTTGGTTAAATACTTTTATTTTGTCGATTTGTTCCAACGTTTCAGTAAGAAGAGCAAGCGGAGAGCGCATTCAGATGACTACTACATCCAGCAGTTAATCGAGAACGACAAACAGATGTTGCAGAACCAACAGCGGCAGCTGCAGCTCGACGAACAGGTATCAACGGCCGCAGTGCAGTTCTTTAGTGTTATGACGGATTATCTGAACAAAATTAATGCCACTATGCAATCTATGAGCGAAGTCCCTTCGACAGAGTCAAAATCTTTTGCGTGCTCTCCGTCTTCCGAAAGTAAACAAAATACCATACCGATGCCCGGCTGTTCTAAGCTTTCATCTGGCGTAGAACCCGGCAGTGAGGCTGGAACGATGCCGGAGGGCGACTCGGACGTCCCTAGGACAGCGCGACAAGCGAAGAGACTTTGTACGTCTGAC